AGGGGGGGGGGGGGAGAATTTTCACAGAACATGATTTTTTTGTCAATAAACTCAAAGTAAAAACAACTTTGACATTTCTCCTGCAAATTTGTTTTAAGCCCCCATTTGCCATCTGCGCATCCATCTGACCCCATCAGCTAGCAGAACTAACAGTAGCCCACTTTAAGCCAACCTTATGAATCTAGTACATTTTGCACTAAAAATACATTATGGTTTCTTAATATTAGCTACACTGGACTATCTGTACATTATTAGCATTCCGATATGATAATGTCTGCATTAGGATCAGATATATTAGGAAATCAGTACTGCAAATATGGGGAAACACTCAGCATTGTCTGTAAGGTCCAGTACTTTAAGAGTACATAAGATTACTTCAAAAAAGAAAAGTCTGGGTTTACAGATCTTCATCATTAAAAGCAATAATGACCAATATGAAATCACCACTTTTCAGACTGCAGACAATCAGCTCTTCCATAGATCAGACGCTACCAGGAAACACGTCCTGCCTTCTAATATACTGTTTACTCTGAGGCCTACATCATAGTAAAAGCAAATATAATCTTACTTTATGAAAGTGAATTGCTGGTTTTACTTTCCATCAGGGATTTGAACGTCAAAGAGCCAAATGCAAGTATTTTCCTCTGTCCTCCCATCACACCAGCCTAAACCGACTCTTTAATGCAGTTCTTACACTTTCTTCCCATTCCATCTTTACAAATGAGGTAGCTCAGGGTAAAATAAAATCAATTAACCAGAAACAAAGTCACTACACATTACTCAAATTCTTCTTTTAGGACCCAGCTTTCCTGTGATGCCAAGATGTGATGCCACTATCAGGCAGCTGGTATCCTCTGACTGTTGCTTATGACAACACTCTTTACGACATCATTCTTGTATTGCTTTTTTCCTGCTAACCTCTACTTTTACTTCCCCTTCTCACCAAGTTGCTGTGTCTTATGTTCCTAGCCTGGAAACACTTCAGCTCTAACACATGCACATAATCCACTGGTTTCCAGTCTTAGGCCCCAAAATACTATGGTAACAAGAATGAGTAATAAAGATGGGATAGAGGCAGCCACTAAAACCATTTGTTTCAAATTCTAATCAAGAAATAGGGAGAGATAGTAACAGCACACTTATTTCCACAGAGGTGTATGCACTTCAGTGAATGGGGGGACATAAAATGTCTATGAGGCTGGTATTTGACCTGATGTATGATAAAGAACAGTGAAGTTCTGGAAGTTATAACCAAGGATCTCCTCAAACTAAAACAACCTACAGCCCTAGCAAGGAAGCTTGTGAAGGGGAAGGCACCTGGGAATACTGGATGAACCTAAAACACACATTTGTACTTTAGAGCTTAAAAAAAACAAAAAAAAAGCCCAAGAATCTTGCTCTCAGTAGGAAAATGATGGTCCTGGTCATAAGCTTCTTGCTCATGTACAGAATGAGATGAAACATGTTTTCTGTATACAACATCAATGAAGTGCTGAAGATTTCCCAGAGCAAAAAAAAGGAGATCCTTGTTAGAGGGGAACACTGTAAGAAACATTCCGGTAGCTGCATCAGACCCACCACCCAATTAACAGTGGAAAGCTACCTTAAAAATCAAGAACAGACACCTCAGTATTGGAACGACTATTTTTAAAATGCAAAAACAAAGATTAGGTAGGTCATTTCAGAAGCTGTACTCAGCTCTAACAAATGGCAAAGCTGCTTAAACGCTGAACATGATAGAAAACAGAAGCAAATCCACATTACGACTGCAGCATGTGGTATTCCACTACTGTGTTCAATAGAGGGAGTGGCAGAATAGGCCACAAATACGCTTCTATGCTGCTTTGCAAAACTTTTTGGAAGTAGGGCTGAGGAAACAAATTTCACTTCCTCTTAAAAGACTTAAGTCTTTTATTAACCCCCCAAAAGGAAAACCCATGAACAAAGGAAAAAAAACCACAAACAGGATATGGAAATAGAAACACATTTTAAAAATTGGTTAAAAACTCTTTCTGACCAGCAAGATACAACACCATTGGCCATATCACCCACTATATTTTAATCTACCACTGGCCATAACACCCACCATATTTTACTCTTATAATCAAAAAACAGAATAAAGTAGGAAGGTATCGCTCTTAAAGATACCATCGTTATATAATCAGCTGAAGGTTAATGAAGTCTGAAAATTTTTCTCTGTGATGGCATGAATATATTTTGGTTCTCTCTTGCACATATTCTGCATACATTGCTTGTTTGCAAATACGTTATGTGTTACGACTTGCTTGTTTGCAAATACGTTATGTGTTTTAACACATGCCTATTCTGTCGTTAGCATTTAATGTTCAGTTTTAGCCAAGCTGTTGTCTTGCGTTATAATTACGGAAGCAAAACAACTGTCCTACAGCAACAGGATTAGGACCAAACCTTCATTTACCAATTTTGGTTTTCTTGTTCCACGCTGAAAGAAGTGAAGCTGAAGAGGATCCTTATCACTGTGCAAGGCATAAGCATCCCTATTCCCCACAGAGTTGGTAAGAGTTCTTAAGAATACTTCCAAAACACACAGAAAAAGGTTAGAAAGTGATGAGCATCCTTTTCCAAAAAGGGTTTCAAAAACACCCAAAGCAGCAAAATATTAATATTTGCTTAAAACTACTTATAAAAGTAACAGGCAATAACTGAACTCTGGGATACAGTATTAGGTTTGGTTCCATATATCCAATGGGACTCCAGCTCCCATATTCATCCCACAGGGATCAATTAAGCTTCAAATAAAAGTTCATATTCAAGGTAGAAAGCTGATCCAAGTTAGTAGGTTTCCTATCATTTCCTTTTTAATGAAACACTCTCGATAACAAAGGCCTTTCTTTACTTGATTATTATTGCCTCACCTTCAACAGAATGAGGTATCCAGTTTAATGACAATTGAAGTATATCTCTATGCAGTATTGTCCATATAAAGTCTTAAGATAACAACATGCTATGAAGAGGAAGGCAACTACCCCGTTTCCTAGAGATACAGAAAAATACTTCATCATAAAAGCAAGCTAAACCAGAACAGGTCTTTCCACGCCAATGACAAAAAAAATCACATTGAAAATACTCATTTTGTTAGAAAACCAGTACAAAAAGAATATTTTCACTGAGGTTCCCTGCCCCATACTGATATCGTCCCACTACAATAACAATCTGAGGGGAAAAAATACCTATAAAAAGTTACATTTGTACTTCTGAAAAGGATCTAAAGGAGATAAGAACTACTTGATGGCAAAATAGAGCCCTGTGCAGTCCATAGGAAGCAACACTATTAGAAAAAGCCCATAGCCATAATCTTGGTTTTGACATAGACGCTTTTTTCTCTCTCTACCTGTTCCACACAATTCCTGTGAAAGCAGCAGAAATGTATGAACAATTTATCATCTTTAGTACTGGTTGCTAGGTTTATGCTTTCTGCTCAACTTTACAGGAAAAACAGACTAGATGGATAGCACATTTTAAAGGGCTGGCAAACTTTTTCTGTTTCCTAAATCAACATATCAATTTCATAAATTAGTGACATATTTAGTGATATAAAATAGTTAACTATTTTTAAAAAACCACACACACACACACATATGTGTGTGGGTATATATATGTATGTACGTACTTCCAGATGGCAAAAATTTCTCTTCTCAGCAACAATCTTGTTTACTGCTATTACTACTGGTTATAAGATTTGTCATTGTCTCTCTTTGTGAGCCCTGCAATTACTTTAACATAAATTTTACTCCATTCTTTTGTCATTCTATCTTAGACTGCTCAGCAATTTCATGCTCTCATGCTATCTTTTCCTCATTTTCTCGGCAAAAAAAAGTGCACCTTATTCAGATACTGAAGAATCAATACATTCATTATAATATTTTTATAGCAAGATTTTCACCATCTCTCTCAAGAGCACACTGCTGTAGAGATACGTCAACCAATTTAATTCTAAGACCTTTATCTCACTGAAAAATGGGAATACCAGTCACCAGTAGAAGAAATGAGGATTTGTGAGCTTTCCGACTGGTTTATATCTTCTCAGTAATCTAGTGAACTACAATGAAGTACTCCTTTTGAGATCTGGAGCATCAGCAGCTCCTGCAACAGGGAAGGGGAAAAACAGATTAGGGCAGGAGAGAAATTAAACCAGGATGGGGGAGATGGATATACAGAAAGGTCACGACCAAGCTTAAATAGGCACATGGCCCCAGGCCCTCATGACAGCAATGGCAACAGCTTTTGAGTATGCATGAGGTAAAGCACCTGACAACTGCTAGCCTTGAGAGCCCCCTGCCTGTCAGAGAAAGCCCCACCACTTGCTAAAGCAGACAGCTTCGTTTTACAGCAGGTTCCTCATGCCTGATACCTCCGGTCTGTCACAGAGCTCACAACAGGAAGAGTGTATTAGTTATGGGCTGACACTCAAAGAGACTACCTTGTTTTATTTCACGTATTAAAGCAGAGAACTCTGTCCAAGAAGCGCTTAAGAAAATCCCTGTGCTCCTACCCAGTCTCTCCAGCAGCTTAGTAAAAGAGATTATCTAGGTCGGGGACTCCGGTCTGGATCCTTGACTCCTTCTCATCTGTTCTACTCTGTTCCTTTGCCATTTGTGGTTAGTGACAGATGCCCTTCAGAGCAAAATACTTCTAACCACAAGATACACCGCTTTCACCAAGTAATTATCTAAGTGGCAGAGAGAAGAAAGGGATTTTGATAGTCCATTCTCAGCTTTCCTAAGCAGAGGAGATGACAGAACAACAGGGCTTTACAGATGTCTTGCTTACTGGGAACTGGATAAGAACCTTATAGTTGACTCTGTTAAAGCAACTGGCCAACTTGCAGCAAGTCCACCAGGCTGAGTTAAAACAGTGCAGCCTAGAAAGGTATCCTCCTATTCCAAACAACTAAACTGACTTTTAAAAGTTTCTATTAGAACAGAGCTATGGCAGGTGATGTCTTTGCAGAGCAGATGTTGCTTTCCACAACTTTTGTGATGATATTTTTTAAAGTGGAAAGCATTACACTTCACAACAGCTGATCTAGTTTTGTTTCAGATTTTTTAAAAGGATAAGGGAGACTATGCAAATTAGATTTTTTTGATGTTTCAGATGTTTTCATCTCCACAGTCCCTGTGACACAGCCTGTGGCTGGGCTCTCCTTGAGTCTGTTTCTACAGTACAATTAAAATTAACCATCTGCTTGTGATTTTTTTTTTTTTTTAAATAGTCTCTGGGTCACACACAAACTGAGGTTACAGAAGTGGAGAGCAAAAGGATGAATGCATAAGAAATTAATAATGCTAAAAGCCTGCTTTTAACCAAATAAATGCCAGAAACAGATTTCTTTCTAAAGTAAGTAGCTTACCTCCACACCAGAATACCTTGTCTACACAGACAACAGTTTATCCAGAATCAGCAGCTAATTAATGTAGCATCATTAACACTAGCTCTGGAGCACTCAACGGGGTAGGCAGCAAAAAGTAATTCTGCCATTAACCAGGTTTCATTGAATGTGATAAGCAAAAACACGTGCCCTTTCTACAGGAAAATGTACTATATTCACTTGAAAAAGGGGTGCACTTGACTAATGGCAGTATGCTGGTTTTAGCCCTCAAACACAGAATTTAAAAAAAAACCCAAGTACCGTCCTTCCCCACACATGCTGGTTTCTAACATTAGGTTACAGACATCTGATCACTCATGTTCTCTGTGCTGAACAGATGCAAACAGCATTCAGCTGCACTATCTTCACAACAGGACTTCCCTAATAGATTGAGCACAGCACTCTCAAATCAGTCATTTGCACCCAACTGGTCAGTACACTAGCAAAATGAGTACAGATCTGCATAACAAGAGTGAACAGCCATGCTGTACCTTGCAATAAAGCAGACTACCCTAATACACTAATGTAAAGGCTGTATCCCTTATTTAGGGTGCCAAAGCTGGGAAAAGGGTGAAGCTCTTATTCAAGCCAATAAGATATACTTGTAGAGGCACAGACACTTGCATTCTTTGTAAAGAAAGCTGTGAGCATAGGCACACCCTAGTTGTGTGACTTCCTCCTTCAAGACAGGGGCCTGTTCCTGCTCCAGAGTTAGGAGGTTTTTTTTACATATTTAAACAAGAATAATGTTTTACATGCCTATAGTGCCTTCCACGTAAAGATCTCAAAGGACTCTGTACATATCACAAATGCCCCAAACCACCCCCCTGTGAGGTAGGTATTATCCCTATTATTTACAGATGGGGAAATTCAGGCACAGAGGTTACATTATTTGCCCAAGGTCACACAGTGAGTCAGTGGCAAAATAAAACAGAACCCAGCTGTTCTGATTTTTATTTGCACAATCCAGCTACTAAACAACACAGTCTCCATCTCGAAAATCAGTGTGCATTAGAACACTCTTGGGTGTCAAAACCCAGGGCCACTCATAAAAAGCATGAAAAAGGAGGAAAAAGAAGGAAAAAAAAAAAAAAGGACTGAGGGGACACATAAGAACTTGTTTCTGCAAGCCAGCACAGCTTTAAAGAAAGAGTGCCTGCCAGTTCCCTTCCCAGAGCTGAGACAGCTTGACCATGAACCTGGGATACAGGAAAAGGCAGCGGCGGGTGGATCCAAAGCCCAAAACAAAAAAAGCTAGCTAGAGTAAACAGCCATACCATCCCCCTTCATAATTTTGAAAGCATAGGGTCATAGAAAAATAGGGCTGAGAGGGACCTCAAGAGATCATCGAAGTCCATCCACCCTGCCTCAAAGCAGGATCAACTACACCTACTCATTCCTGACAGTCTAATTTGTTCTCAAAGTCAACATCAGCACCATCAACAGAGACTGCACGTCCTCCCTCAGCAACCTGTTCCACCTTGCATCTATCACGTGAGCAAATGAGGGCAAGGGAGTGTAACATAGCTACTTTTGCTCCTTCAGTGGGGGCACCATGATTCCCAGGCCTACCCAATGATCTGAATACAACTCAGAGAAGCTAGTCTCCAGGTATTTGCTTATTTCCATCCTAGAAGCCTTGGGAAAACACTGAACACTCGTGTCTGCTGTAGTTTAATACTTGAGTTTTGAAAATACTGATTAATACCAGGATAGATACCAATAAACTGCAAGTGCCAAATCCTACAAGGTCAGTAACAGAGACTTTGATATGGTAATTTTAGCTTACTGCAGATTCAAACTGCAATAAGGACAGGGAAGACTACAGAAAAACCCCACAGCAAAAGTCAGCAGCTCTGAGTTGCCAAGTTACTTCCAGCTGCGGACAAAAAAATCAGGCAGTCGGAAAACACATCTTCAGCAGAGGCAGCACCATGATATGATCTCTGTAGCATCCCTCCATTTCATCTGTCTTCAAAGTGCATTCTCAGTGCAAGAAGTAGGATTGAATTTAAAGGGGCTTACTATCCCCAGTGGATTTCATACTAAGACCAGAACTCTTGCTTGAGTTCATACGCTGCAGCTTTGTTTGTGTTAAGTTCACTTCTGCATAGCGGAACGGTGCTGTCTTGGCTCTGTCCCTCAGCATCTATGTCCAACAGTGTCCGCTCCTCTACAGGAAGACCCACCTGGAAAGGAAGCAGTGCAGGAAGTCCAGGTCTCTCTTCCACAGTGCTGCTGCTACTAGCAAAACAGGAGTCCAGATTGCTTGGAGTGTCAGTACTTGAACTGTTGGCAGAAGATTCGCCCTTGGCATTGCTGGGCGACACAAACCACCAGGGGTCAAGCCGCTGCCGGCTGGCTGCAGGACGCGGCCGGGGCAGGAACTCCAGTGTCTTGGGTCTTTCCAGTGCGGGGTCCTGCTGTGCATTCCATCGTCTTGGGGTTGGAGGAAAAACGAGGTTGGGGTCTGGCAGGCGAGGGACCTCATTTGGATCTCTGCTTGGACTGGGTGTTTTTAATACACCTATCCAAAACAGAATGTGAAAGAGGGAAACATATGTTAGATATCACTGCTAAACAGTTTCAACAGATCTTAGCTTATTATACACACTATGAAAACACTTTCAAAGCAGAAAGCCTCCATTCAGAGTCCACAACCTCTGTATCTTTATCTGTAACATTACATCAGTTTGAAGTGAATTACTGCTTTTTTCTGTTTTGTTCCTATCCTGTTCTGAACACGTTATTGAGAAACACCTGTTTCACTGGCACAGCATAGGCAGAGTACTCTGTGCATTTTCTCATTTGTTCTCTTCATTCTCAGACTAAAGATCACGGATTTGACCTCCTGTCAGTGGTGAGGGCTCTCCAAATCCTTTGGAGGGCACATTCCCCAGTAATAACCTGAACAGATCAGGGGAGACACTCACATAGCAGGATACTTGACGCCTGTTTGCGGTGAGCTGGATCAAATTCCTGGAAGAGTCCTTTAATGTTACAGTGTGGACACTTCTGTACAGTTTTTGTTTTTTTCTTTCTTCTCCAAAACACAACGTAACTTTTAAGTTTTCATTTTAGGATTCTATTTTAATGAGTATTCTCAACTCCATTAACCCAAATTCTACTGCAGATTCATTCAACAGAAACTTACATTCTGTTCTGCCATCAGGAAAAGTCTACTTAAATCAGATTTAATTTCGTATTACTGAATTACTACAGCAGGAAAACAAGAAAGCATTTATCAAGTCACAGGCCTTCTTAAAGACCGTAATAGTGAAAGCACACTACCCAGAAAGATGCCTCTTGCTTGCAAAGGAGCGAAATTAACAGTGGCACAGCCCCAAACTGCTTCAGAGATCCAGATTTAACTGCCTTAAAAATTAGAATTTGCTCTGAAATTGTAACATCAATACAAAAAAGCGCATAAAGGCAATGGAAGTGGAACCATGAGGAACCGCAAAAACACAAACAATATTTGTACCTTGATAACACCTTTGCCTAAGGAATAATAATATGCTGTGCCTCACAATATAGTGATGCTGAAAGAGAGCTCTGTAGTATAGAGAGGCTGGGACAAACATTATTGCATTTTCCTGTTCATTATTGGTGTAAGCATAGCGTTAGTGAGCCCTTGTTGTGGGCTGCGCATCACAACGACGCTATATATGCAATATGTTTACATCCTACCAAGTAATCACATTTTTCAGGCCTTTATTCTGAAAAGCAAAAGGAAGACGCCTGAAAACCTACCTGCTCCCAATGTTCCAGTTAAACAGCTACTGGAAGGGCACCCACTGGTTGGGCACCCATTGACAACCAGTCCAGTCCCTTTGATGGCCCCATCAGAAGGTGTGCGTCTGTGCCCACCTTGCTGGGTGTGGGAAGAGACTGTCACGTGTGTGGGAGTCAGGGACTGGTTGGGGTCTTGTTTGAACCTCTCAATCTGGACATTGACTAATGGGTTGTTAATGGCTGGCAAGGGAGCCTTGACTGTCACAGGGCTGACAGGCATTTCATACACCACAATCTCGTCACTGTCTGAGCGCAGCAGGGACCGGGTAGAATTACATTCAGAAATGGAAGACAGGGAAAGAAGGGTCAGGGATGTGGATGGCTCGCCTAAAAACAACATGGGCTCCTCTTTCCTGAAGATCTTCCGGGAGGGTGGGCTAGTGCTCCTACGTGGACGTCCAGCTCGTTGGAAAATGCTGTCACGCTTCTTTTTCTCTTCCTTGGGTGGTTCTGGCTCCTCCTCAATCAGCAGCTGACACTTTCCAGCCTCTAACAGGTCAAAGCCCAGGCCTGCAGCAGCCAGCACTGCCCCACAGCCAAGTAAAGCAACCTCACATCGTTTATGATGGGAGCCGCTACGTTTGAGGCTGTTTGTGGGCGTCAGCTGTGGGGTGCTAGTAGCGGAGTTCACAGGGGTGGATTCTTCATTGGCATCACTAGAAGGGCCATCCCAGTCTTCATTCTTCTGAAATGGGATGCAGAGGTATGACTGGTTGGGACCAGGTGAAGGGTGCACTTTGCCCTCTCCATTAAAACATTCGCTGTCTTCATCGTCTGGAAAGTAAATTAAAGCACACTTTGTATGCAACATTTTCACTGACAAATTTTAAGATGTCTTAAAAAATATATGAGAATTAAGCTTCTCTTCAGAAGACACAACTGTCATCATCTCAAGCACAATTCACCAGTTGCCAAATACTAACAGGGTATTGTCTCCAAAGCATTCTCTCCAAAGCGGATAGGCTAAGACAAGTAGCTGCTGGGAACACTATCAAAGTGGAAGACTTAGTAATGACAGACTGATATGTTTGAGAGCTCAACTAACAAAGAGCACTTTAGAAGAAATCTACCTTTGTTACTTCCAGAGTAAATTCATATATTTGGGAGTGAGGAGCAAAAAGGCAGGAAAATGAGAAGGACTTCTCCATGCAAGTGAAGGTGTAACCCAGTCCCCATGCTGAACATTTAACTGAGAGGGAGCATGGAGCTAGAGGGAAATTAAAAGAAGCTTGTTAGCTTAACAGATAAGTGTGGCAAGGAGAGAGATGAACACAAAGAAAATCTAAAAGCAGACACGAGAAAGTAGCTACTTTGCAAAAAATAAAATAAATGTGAGTTGCAACCAAAATAAAACCACTGCTACAAGCTACCAGGTGAAGGTAAGGAAACAAGAAGTTCAGTCAAGCATGAATGGAAGTGGGGATGAGGATGTGAAGTTCAGGGAATTTCTTTACCCATCTCTGCTAAGCTGGTGAATCCTGGAAAAGCAGGCGCAGTTCTCTGGATCTTCCCTAGGTTTGGAGCACTGGATGACCACTGTTTGTATCCTTCTGCCAGAGCTTTCAGACTGAAATAGAAAGATGGGAGAAAATGTCTAGCGCTCACAACAAACTTTCTTTCCTGCCACCTGTATTTTCTATTGCTCTATTTAGGGCATTCACATATCTACCTTAACTTACATAAGTTTAAGGCCCTGCTGTAGCAAGACATTTTATAACATCTTCACACCATCTTAAGATACAAAAAAAGTCCTCTCCTCATTTGTTATAACACGCAGTCAAAGGATCTCAGTTGATCATCATCAACTTCTATGAATGCAAAACGGAACAAAGAACCATTTAACAGAACATTTAGAGGCTGCAGAAATTAGATGAAACACATATTTTCAGCAGGAGGAGGGAAAGAAAATCTACAAAAACATTTCCATGTGAAATACAAATGAACAATGAAAGTCAAAGATCATTCACTGGGAATAAGATGCTACAGTCATTACAACAGCAGAGTCATGCCCCTACATATAACGTTACGGAAAAATTGCTAACTTAACATCATATATCACATCATTGTTTCTTTTAGTTACAGATTAAAAATCAAATCCCTACTTTGAAGTCACCTGAGTTTAAAGGCATTTCACCCAGTGCCTGAGCTCATTAGCAATATCAATTCATAGGAATTCATTAGCAGCATCCCATTTGCTCGCTGCACTACTGTGACATCAAAAACAACAGCAGTAAGTGGCATATCTACCTGACAGGCCAACAACTGGCAACATTTTTTCTTCTTCAGCTATCAATATGGCCTGAATAGGGAGATCTGCAGTGGCTTTCTCCAAATCCCAACGTGAAACACACCACACTGTTGGCGAAATGCTAATATGCACTTAGGATAGTCAGAAACTGAACCAAAGGAGCAACAAGATTATCAAGCTTAGGTTATCAAGCTTAGCTTTCTTTGTTACACACAAATGATCGCAAACAGACATGCAAGAGCATCTCTTTGTTATTGAAAAAAATGGAAAACTAAGAAATGAGATATCTTCCAGCTCCATTCTTGACTTGTGTGGTTCTTTGGGAAGAGGCATTACAAACTCATATCTTTCTCTCTCTACATGGGAAGGACTATAATGAATTCTCTCTCACAATTCACTTTTCATCAGAATCACTCTGCACTTCTGCAACTGCTTCCATCCCAGGATTTAAAAGTCTTATTAGGTCAGGTTTCCTTGCCTTGGTGTGCAGTTTATCTCTATTCTCTAACCAACCAGCATGCCCAGCTTGTCACCAAAGAACTGTATTACTGTGGCAAGGTCACAAGGTCTGAACTTGCTTCAGCAGATGTTCAGTTGGTTGATGGCCATGCTTTAGACATTTCAAATGCTCTTACTACTCCCAACATTCAGGAATAGTTTCAGATTACACTAAAAGCATCCTGTACAGGTCTTATCTGTCTTGAAAGTTCAGCATTTTCTCCACATTAACCATTCTGACATGTGCACCACACTGCCACAAACTTGAATCCTTCCAGCACAATGCTGAATCTTATTTGTCAACACAGACAGCCATGTGATTTCACAACAGAAGCACAACTCAGCATATAAGTCTCTCCCCGTTCATTCACTCCAAAGTACACTCAGCTGCGTGACGAAACCTGTCAGACTGCGTATCTTGTATCTAACTCATCCAAATGTAAAGCACGCATGGTTAGAATAAATACCATAAAAGAGGGCACCACATTAAGGGTAAGCTGGCAAGTGAAAATGAACGTATCAGCAGTGTGATCACCTCTAAAAGTAAATGTCAAAGCTCCGACAATATAGGTAGACATTACCAAAGGAGGGAAGACTTCCATGGAGGTGGGAAAGTAATGTGCTCTGTTGTCTCTATGCAGAGATGGCAAACAGCAGAGTCATGCAGCAGTTATCTTCAGTTTAGCCTTCACTTTACAGTCATAGTATCTACAGGGTCTTGGGAATTGCCCTTTATTGCACAGCAGGACATATCATCTTTGTCTACTTCCCTATGACTTCTCAGCATAATCTTCGCTTGTTTTAAAAAAAAAAAAAAAACACCAACAACATACACACACACACACACCCCCCCCCCCGCAACAAACCACACCATGAATGTCTCCTGTGACTGACAAAGCATAGCTCACTCTGAACAGAAAGAGAGAAAGTTACCAGAATAATTCCAAGGCTTTCTAAATCTGTCTTAGGGTCATAAACCTTCATCCATCCTGCCTTTTATTTTTTGCCTGCCTCTCTTCCTTCCCTCTCTCTCCTTTCTCTCTCTCTTTCTCCCTTCTCTCCCCCCACCCTATTAACAGCAACACTACCAGGGAACTCCCAAAACCCGTGCCAAGGATAGCTGCATATCCTCTTACTATACAATTGGGTGCATCTGAAAACAATTCAACACATGCCCTCCTAGAGCATGTTGCTGCTATGGCTGCATTACCTGTTAACTTTTCAGAGAAATGCTATGAAAGCAGTAGCAGCAAATCTATTTCAGTCACCAACAGAATCACTCAGGCACCTATGGATTTCTCACCCATAATCCATTCAGGTTAAGTAGTGGAAAGGACATTGCTCCATTTGTGGCACTACACTTGACTTACGTTTCTGTTGCCTCCTTTTTCTACTGGGAAGTCAAAAGCCCCTCTTTTTAGGGGTGATAGTGTGGTTATTTCCTCTGGAAATTGTAAAAGATCCCTATTAACATCAGCTGTAGGAGAGCATCTCCAATGCCTTCTTAAATGAATAAGAATTCTCCAATGTTTCCAGGCTTAGCCCTATTTAGCTCCCAGGATAATAATAATATATATTTATAATAGAATAATAGCTAAAGGACTGTGGCTACCACAAATCCAGTGTCACCTTCAGTAAAAGGTCAGCAGTTTTCACCACCAGAGTGAAAACTCCTTAACCAGAAAAAAGATCACTTGTGCCGCTCACAGCAACAGGCTGAGGCTAATCAATGCAGAGCTCAAATTAAATACAATAAAGACTTCATCATATATCCTTAAACACACACCGCAAGACACAACTAAACTGTCACAGTACTAGTCCAACCTAAAGCTTCAGTAGTCTGCAGTTCAGTGTATCAGCTTTCTGCTGCTGTGCATATTATCTATGTTCAAAGACAGATACATAAGGCTGAATAATTACTCCATCATTTTTCATGACTGGCTTTACTTAACTTTAATTATAGGTGAGTTTACTCATGGAAGAGAATTCAACTGCAATTCCCATAATGTAATCCTTGCATAAATTTGGGACTATCTCCTGTGCAGAACACTTGGAAAGTTATGAAAAAGATAAAGATTCAAGTTGCCTTGGCCACAGAGTTGTGTCAGCAGCTAGAATGGGAGGAATTTTAAAATATATTTTTCTATCCTATATCTAAAGTCTTCACTTAACTCCAACTTTAATCCCCCTGTTCTCCCAAATTAGAATTTAAAAAATAATAATAATGATGATAGTAGGCATCAACACCTCAGTCCCTAATGTTTACTGCAACACAACCCTTCTCCCTTTAAACAGCCTGCAATCTAGGATGATCTCAATGACAAGCAGTGCTTCATTATATGTTAACTATACTGCCCTCTCAGCAATACCATCATGTTTCAGATGCTCCGCAAAATGCCATGGCCTTATTGAGTCTCCCTGGAGAAGGTGATGAACACTAGAGAGCATCTCAGTTTTAGAGAGAACAGGATAATGTTACTAGCAACCATGGTTAGCAATCCATCAATTCCTAGCAAGCAACTCCTTTCCAGGTGTCTGTACCCAAAAGCAATTCAGTGCTTCAAACTGTATGGTAAGGAATGAAAAACTGAAGAGGTTTATTCCCACAACTCTAAAAACATGATTTCAAAGGAGAAGTATTTTTGTACCAACTTCAATGATTTCCTACCTTTTTTTATAATTATTAATTAATGATTGTAAAATGTGATGTTTTTGTTTTAATTCTAAAGAATGAATTAAATTATAGGAAAGATATACGCTGCATAGGCAGCAGCCAGAGAAGCTTTCTCCACATTGCCCTGCTAAGCTGTGTCAAGAGCACCTTTACAGTAGAATATAGTTTAATGTCCTTAGACTACCAAGACCTAGGCCCTCTTGCAGAGGGCTTCAATAGTAGTGCATTATGTAAACACCTATTTTCCAGGAATTACACATAAGATCCAAGATCAATTATAAGCAGTTATCTTATTTTTCCTGTTAAAATGCAGCTAATGCCAAACTACCAGTGTAGCAGTGAAAAAGCTTCAGATTTCAGTAAAATTACAAGGCATTCAAATTTCTCAGGTTCGCTTAGAACATCACTCAAATATTCCTAAGTTTTAATCACCATTTCAGTCAAGGTACAAGTGTCTTTTTCAAAAGACTGAAGAGAAGATATTTGCCTGGCTCTACCATGTTTTTAAAAATAGCATGCAGGAAAAGAAAAAGCATAGCTAAGAATTGTAGAAGCAAAGGAAAAACATTTTCAGATATGATATGAAACTACAGAAAGTAGAGCCTGAAGATGAAGAAAAACTACCTGAGAAATACCTATACACAGCTAAGGAGAAGAAAATCTATTGCTTAAAAATAGACATAACAAGATAATAGCAGGCATAGTAAAAACAGCACAGCTGTGCCAGGATCTTGCAAGGGATTGAATGCAACCTGTCTTTGTATTGTTTTGAAACTCTAACATCTGTGGTACAGTAAATAAATTATGTCAGCAGAGAAGTGCTTGGAAGAGGTCATGCAAACCTCTTGTGAATCAATGCTCATAATCAGTTTAAGAACCTGGAAACCAGTTTGATCCCAGGCCCTCTCTTCTTACCCATCTTCTCCTGCACCTAGCTCCTTGTGACAAAGAGAGCTTGGTCCCCAAGTGCGTCCTTTCTTCTTCTGGCCTCTCTTCTCTTCTTCCTCTCCTTCCTCCTTTGGAAGGACTGAGTTTCGTCCCCATGTTTTACTGCTTGTGGGAAAAGCAGAGGAAAATGGGGGAAAACAGATAAACATATTAAAGAACTGGTCCCACAGAAAAGTAAAGAATAAAACACAGGCCAGAAGAGGAATGGTAATGAAAAACTCCATTCAAGGTTCTTTCTCATAACCCTCACCAATCAACATTGATACAACAACTAAGCCACATTAAAATGAGTACAGTCAGGCTTTACAGCTTTATTTCATCACTGGTTTCTCTTTTAGAACTACTGATTTGATACCAGAAACAAGTCCCATGATATCCAATACAAACACTAAGCACTAGTTAACATTCTCTTCATACTTCTAATACATGCTTGTCTCCATATTCCGTGTCATTATGGGAGCTCTGCTTTTATGCCAAGTGCCTTTATTTTTCCTTTTCCTTCTCTCAGTACCTTAATCCATTTCAACCATGTTTCAGAGATCTATTATGTAAATTAATATTTTAAAAATTAGTCTGGGCACTCAAGAAATATATTTTCTACATAACCAAGCAGCAATATTTAAAGAACCTGCGTAAGTAAGGCTCAAATTCCAATGAAGAAAATACTTAGCTCCTCCCCAATACACTCTGTCTTTCTCCCTCTAAACGCATACATGAAGAGCACAATGGAAACGTTTAGGAACATTTCTATAGTCTCGTCCTAAATAGGGATCTTGGCATCTTACCACACTGACAGACCATGTATTTCCCAAATTCAATACTATATTGAGTTTCTTACACTGTATAGCCCTGAGTCTGGGAATAATGGTAGGACTTGCAGGAGGACTGGAGCAGCTACTGATCAAGCTTTTCCTTTTATCCATCGTTGGAGAAGCCTGCACAGTGAATTTATGCTGGAAATCTGTTTACCAGAAGACAAAATTTCAAACCAAAGAACAGAAAAAAAGAATTATTTTTTTTTTAAATGGAAGAAAGAAAGAAAATTAATCCTTTATGATAACTTTCAAAGAGTGCAATTTACAGAATCTGTGCAGAAATTAAGCTTGCAGCTAATCATTATTCCCCCTCTGTACATGCAATTACTTTAGGCCAAAGATCTGTACTTATGCTCATGAAGGTTTTTTTTTTTCTCTCCTCGGTGTGTGGGTGTCTGCGTATATATATACATATACGCCTATATGTAAATATGTGTGTATATATACACACACACACAGAGGCCCATGAGTTGACTGACATTTATGCCAAATATATGCCTGTACTGTTTTCCCTTTCATCTTTATCTCTCCAAGTTCCTTGAGCTAAGCAAAAACATCAGCAATAGGTGTTTACAGACCTAAAGAAAAGCGTAACTTATCATTGCTCTTCTGAGCACCCAGTCACTTCCGGAAGACAAGGAACAGCATACGCCATCATCCTTAAGACAGCAATGAGCCTTAGATGATTTACAAAACTCATTGTCTTTTGTTCTTTTATATATTTAAGTCTCCATACAGAACCCTCAGCAGAAATGCTGAGGATGCGCTATTTTTGAAAACTAGCATCTTCACTCTCGAGAGTGATTTCCCTAACACCTGACCAATATTTATCATTTCTTCCAGAAAGGTGGTGTTAGATATCACTTCTGTGTGTTAATTTGGGTTCATATATCAACTAGCAGTGTAGTGCTGCAGTCCCATAGTTGTCAACACGTTTTCAATAATTTTTTTAAACCAGATTTCTTCACCAAGAAATCCAGTAGGTTACGGTTTCTGTGGCAGCATTATGCAAAATATTCCCACAGAAGGAGTCTGCATCAAAACAAGGTACTTATTTTATTAAATTGACTGTCTGGATCATTACTGTGCTAAACCGCAACACCAACACCTTTACCATGAACACCTATTCATTCATTAACCTCAAATTAATTTCTGGCCTTCCTACTTGGAACCTTTGGGGAACATCAGTCACAAGAGCATCAAAGTTTTGTTTTCTGATGCCAAAGAGGTTTGTTTTTCCCCAAGTACAGCCAGTACTTTCTAACGCTTAAGCACAAAGGAACTATCAAAGCTACATGGTTCACTTGCTCCTGCCATTTCATCTGACACTGCCCAAGATGTCACCAACCTGAGGGGAGGCTGATATGATTGCCATCTTTCAACTTGAGCCGACTCTTCTTGAACTTCCCCATGCGTTTCTTCACCCGAGGCTTCTCCTGGCATAGCTGGTGGATGATGATGTTGAGCTCCCTTTCCAGGATGTCAATCTCACGTTCTGCCAGCTCCTGCTCCCGCCGTCGTAGCAGCTCCTCATGATTTTTCTGTTCAACAGCAGCACGAGTCAGCTCTTCTTCCCATGTGCGTAGCTCCTGAACGGAGAGCAGAAAGGAGAAGGAAGAAACCCACAGGTCACAAGGTAGATTTAAGACCAACTTTTCCCATTTTGAAGGTACCGCAGCAATGATTTGTGCTCACAGCATTACTAGCACCACTGTTCAAAGACTCATCTAAAGCCAAAGATGTAAAACAATCCTGAAGGACTTCTGTGCTTGCCACTCAAAGCTTTCTTCAAATCAGCTGCTTTTGTACAGACCACAAGAAAAGAGCCCGCTTACTTATGCCCATCAATTATCAGATCTGTAGCTAAACAGAGAACTTCAGTTTCTAGAGGGGTTAATCAGGTACTTTTCAAAACACTAAAATCTTATTTAAATGACTGGAATTCTAATTTTGACAGTCAGTGTGGCTTTGAACTAGCCAGTGAATATTCTTACCATAAGAATTAAAATTTGGACATTAAATTAGAATCCCAAAGTGGATTTTAATTAGAACTGTTGTTGGATCCATTGACCTAGTAGCACTCTATCCACTTCGGCTGTGCCCAAAACTTGGGAAACAAACCTGACAGAACCAAGGCTGCAATATTTATTGGCGAATAAAGTCTAAAACTACCCCTTCTCTTGTTACTGTTCACAAGTTATCATTGGGCTTCTCCGCTAAGATAGCTAGCGATGAAATAGTTGCCAGATACTTGAAATAATAAAGACAAACCATCATAGTAGTTTGCACAACGTATACAGAAAGCTCACTACAATATCATGAAGAGCAGCAGCTCAGGATGTAGACATCTATTCTACTCATGATTCAGCCCTTGTGTGCATCATCATTTGCCATCAGTGCAAGGACTTATTCCAAACTCCAGTAACGTACAGACAAAAATCAGCTCTGGGACACACTAAAAGATTATTCCTTTTTGGATTATGAAATGGGAGAATCACAATCCAGAAAGCGTAAGCACGGAATATTTTTCCCTACTCGCCTTCTCTTTGGCTCTGAGTTGATCAAACATCTCCTGTATCTCTTGTTTCCAGTCTTCCTGCAGGGAGTGGAAGGAATCTTTGGGCATTTCAAAGAAACCAGATTCTTCTATGGCGGTGAGATGGTCTAGGATACTGGCAAAGGAAGGCCGTGAGTGTGGATCAGGATTCCAGCAATCTAGAACGCGACAACGACAAGCAACTATTAAGTATCTCTATCGGTAAGGAAGTTTCAGGCTACACAGTACTTTACTGATCCCCAGTGGCTAAGAATGGCACGCACACTATTTGTGTTACCCTGTCTTTCCCATTTCTCACTTTTATTGGCTATTGTCCAATCTAAGCTGATTATGCAATCAATGCTTTCATGCTACACAATATCTAGTGTGACTTCAGATCTTGCACTACCTGGTCTCTAGGTTCTACTGCAATAATATGTCAAGTAAAGTAGAGGCTTACCAATTTTACAGAAAGTTACACGTTCAAGTATATTTTAAAAATCATAAATAATTTTCTTAAATATTTTGGTTTAAATTCTAAATTCTCATAGAGTGGAGACTACTTTTGGTGGATGTTCCATATGCTGACTCTTAGAGAAAAGAGATGCTACGTAAAACTCTTTTGTACATAGTTCTTTTATCATACTTACATTGCAGAGTTACCTTAAGTATCACAGACATCCTGCAAAAGGGTATCTATCAGTGTTCTTTCTAACGCTAAACCCCATAAACTAAGTTATCATCAATCTCTTCCACTGAGCAGAAAATTTTTCCTGCAAAAGCAGATTGGGCATAACTTCAGAGAAAATAGCAGATGCAAATCAATAACGACACCAAATAGCGCGTTTGGGGTTTTCTCATTTTTCCGAGTTGGTGGGATTTTTTAGTTTTGTTTGTTTGGTTTTGTTTTTTGTGTTTTGGGGGGACTTTTTGAGAGAGAGAAATTTGACTGGGTTTGATCAGGCTTTTCTTTTGTTTTTAAGAGAAACTTTGATAAACAAGCCTTTTCATTTACAATCTAATGCAAAGACTTAACCAGATAGAGCGCTCTAAAAATATAGAATTTAAGGTACCCATCTTACTACAACATGCAACTCAACTTGCAATAGTACAAAAAAGTACAATAAGGTAATCCTTCTACAGTGATGGGAATTGGAGGTTTAAAACAGACATGGAAACAGATAATGGCATGGAGTAACTCCTCAAGTTATGAAATCATTAAGATCCTGTTTTTAAAAAGCCACTGAGTTAAAACGTTTGACTTAGCAACACTTTTGAACAGAAATTCTTACTCCTTCAATCCTCCCCTCTTACTTCACCCATATGTCTTACTCCTTCAGAAAACATCAGTTCTCATTCTACATCATCCCATACTGGCATTTACGCAGGTTCTTGCTCAACATGTATCCTTACTCCTTTTAGTACTGCAGGTCTCCTGCACACCAACATTTGACAAGAATCAAACAGAAAAAAATTAACATTCAAGTACATTCCTAACAGCTAGCGAATACAGCTTTTGTACATGAGTTAAAGAAACATGTAGGTCTCTCTCCTTACGCGCATACAATCATCCCTCTGTATGGTCACTGTTTTCAAGATATGTATTGCCACAGAAAGAGGCAAGGAAACAGTTATAAAAACATTCTAAAAACTTCCTAGCCTTTATGTTTAGAAAAGAGGAAGCAATTTTAAAGAACGTTTTTCTAGGACATCACCAAATAATTTTTTTTTTTTTTAATGCTGTTAAAATAGTGCCACAGGCCAAACTAATTGCTGAATGCATCCATTCATTCTTCAATTTTGTGGATTGAAATACTCCAAGAAGCAGCTGCAATTAAAGAAGAAGAAGAAGAAGAAAGAAACTTCACAAAATCTGTTTGACTGCTGAGGCTTGGTTTTGTTTTTGGGAACTCCGCTGTTCAAGCTGTGTATCAGGATACTGGTACTTAAACATCTGATCAGGTTCCGGGAGGCCATAAACTAGAACCCATTTGTGTTTATAGCTTCCAAATTGCTTCTCTTATTGAGGTAGAGAACTGAGGATGTCAAAAGAGTGCTCTGAAGCTCCCCTGCTGCCGACCAATTAGCAGCAATGAGTGATACAGCTGGACTGTCAGTGGCATAATCCCTGCTCCTCTACCCCAGGTTTTAAGCATGGCAAAGCAAACATGACCCAAAGTAAAACAAAACGCTGCAGCCAGCCAAATACATGAGTGAGTGAACAGGATAACCATGCAGGTGGCCCGTGGCTTTTATTTTCCCAGGCCTAAATCTGCCATTATTTGCACTAATGAGGACAGTTGTAACATACAAATCTTTTCTGTGAAGAGGGAAAGTTCAGCTTTGTTGTCTCAGTGAAGACCACCAGGGTGGTAATTCAGAAGTAAAAGCAGCATTAGGGGGAAGAGTTCACGGGGAAGGGAAACGGCCTCTCTGAAAAACAGATTTGGTGAAGGGGCAGAGGGTAATTGTTTTCCTGTTCTCCTCTTCTCCCTGCCCCGTGAAGCCAAGCATTTCAAAGCCACACAGGGCTTACCCTACGCTGCTGGGTTCAACCCGAGGCCATATGCCTCTACCTGACTCTCCCAATAGAGGGCATTATTTTTAACCCCATCAACAGGCACATCCAGAGTCCTTGTTTTAGGGACCTTTGTCAAAATAAAATACCCTGGCACAAAACTGAGCTGTCAGTTCCATTAACTCTTTCAGACGCAGCTTCTTGCTTTACATCGCTTCCCAGTTACTGTACCTGCAACTCCGCTGCTGTTTATTACCCTGCAGATTGTTTCTTTTTTAGCAAAAGAGCACATGGAATTACAGGCTTCAGGTAAAATCAAAAACCTACAATAAAAGACTAAGGAAACGCAAAAACAGTCCAAAGCAGAGAAACCTATCTGAAACACTTTCTTACATAAAGAAAATCCTGGCTTGGGGCTAAAAACACCACTGGGAGCCATAGAACGTCAGTTTTGTGTTGAGTCTCACTACTCGCTCACTGAGACTGTAAAAATACGTTTGACTTCTCTTTACCTCAGTATTTTTTCTGCCAGCTGGGGATAAAAATGTTTAATAAATTTAAACAGCTGGAAAACCTTGGGAATAGAGGGAGTGAAAAAAGTATTAAAGGTTCTACTGGGAGGAAGAGGAGGGGGGGACTGACATGCAATAGTTGCAATAGCCAGCAGACCAGCTCACATAAGTATATCCCAAAAGCTACCACACTGGATCCTTTTAAGAACTACAGTAACTCTGCTGACAGCCCCTGATATTTCATTCATAAACAGCCCACTTTGGGCAGGAACTATCCCCACATACAAAGCAGAAAAAACACACTATTCTGACTGAACGTTTGGGTCCTTTTCAGATGCCAAAGCCACATTAAACCATCTCCTTGAAACGTCAGTAGGGTAAAGTTTCATTCCAAAGCAACCTGACAACGGTTAGAAGGTGCTCAAGCTATGAGTTTGAAAACAAATGAAGGTTTTGAACTAGATCAAAATATAGAAGTGAAATTTTGTTGTTAGTACATCTTCTCTACTAGAATATTAGCAGCTGGAAGATGCAGCAATAGGTCCCATTTTCACCATATAGCCTGCTGATAAAAACAAAAACAAGCAAACAAAAAAAGCAGGGGAACTTCTTTTACAGTTACTCTCTTACAAGACTAATGTGTGATAGCACAACGCCATGGAGGAGTCCCAAAATAACTTGTGCCACTGAATGAAACCATCTGAGAGATCTGTGCTCTTACGTATCAAAACCAACACAAGGAGGCAATGCTCCACAGCACTCAAGAAATAGCGCAGACCATACTCACACTGCAGCTGGCTTACCTTCCATGAGTTTGGCAAAAGGCTCTGGACATGTAGAAGGGATTGGAAGGGCAAGTTTATTCATGGCAACACCATATGCTACTGCAAGACCGTCAATTCCTCGGAATGGTACCTCCCCTGTTAGCAGTTCCCAAAGCAACACGCCATAGCTATCAGGAAGGAAATGGAGAAGAGAATAAATGTTTTACTTTAACGCATTCTTTGTTAAGCAACAAAAAAGGCTGACAAACCTCTCAGGGTGAGGCTGGTGTACTTGAGAAATTCCTGTTTTCTGGACAAGCTCATCATGGCTGTCAAGCTGGAAAAATGCCTTATTTTACCTGCATTTTACAATAACTGAAGATCTAAGATAACACCTCAGTGCTTAGTCCAAAATTTTTTGGAAGGGTGCTGATATCCAAGTTGACTTCTCCAAAAATTTAAAATAATATTTTTGGAAAGATTTTAGAATAGATTTACTTGTAAAATCTATTTTTCAATGCATGCTCTGAATGAACCTAAGCTAACCTGTCTGAACTCTCTATGGTTAATATTTAACAGGGAATATTCCACAGGGAAGGAACTCTATTAGTTTCTTAACAGAGTACAATAAGAATTGCTTAAATGGTGGAACGGATCAGAGAAGGTCACCTGAAGGGTACTTATGTGCAACAAGCTAGCTGTCAGCTTTCGCTTTTTAATTGCTAGCACATCATCATCAAATAACTCTGGTGAAATGGTATCAGTCATCATAACTGGGGGTAACCCAAAACCTCCAGCCCTCCATTCCCTATTTTGAATTTGAATGCATCAGGTGATTATCAAGCAATAGAAACAGGATTTTTGCATATTCAGCTGCAAACAGTGAGTGCTTGGGGGAGAAGTTGTTTTGTTTTTACAAGTATGATTACATGGCAGATTCTTCCTCTTGAATCCTGTAGTCAATAAAAAGGAAGAATCCATTATTAGCATCCCCCCCCCCAAATAAGTCATTCTTAAGCCTACATTGCACAGAAAATGTTTATGTTTCTGAAATTTCTGACTTTGTTTAGGTTTAAAGACAAAATAAGACTTTTGTAAAATTTCTTGTCCAAAAAAATTCCAGATAAATATAATACATCTCATCTGAAGATCGTGGCCTCTAAACAACAAAACGAATTACTGCACAGAAATGCATTGTAATTATTTTTCTGACTACTCCAATACTTTCTACCCCTTTCTACCCCTAAAGCAGTCATCAATCCTGCCTTCTGTTTTTCTTTAAGCAACTTCTACAAGACTGTAGAAAGTTTTTTTCATATCACATGGTAACCCCATTTTCCTGAATTTAAGATGTGATCCAGTAAACCACCTAAGTGAAAATGGACATTCCCAATCAGGCAGAAATACATTAACTTTTTAAAGTAAAGCTATTTAATATATTTCATTTTAATGAAAAAAATTGCAAGAGATTCAACTTCTCAAGCAAGCTTTCAAAAAATAGAACACTCAGTAAAGTCACCTGTGTGGACCTGTACAACTTTCTTTCCTTTCTTCATTTAGTTTTAGTATATTGCTGTGCAAAATAACAATCAATATATACACATTCTAACATATTCATATTACCTGGATCTTCAAATACCCATTCCTCAAAAATATAAATTTTAAGAGATTTTGTTACAAATTGAGTTGGCAGTTGGCAAAAATCAAGAAAGTGATTAGGTATTTAAAATAACTTCTGCGAAGGCACAGTTCTCATTATTTGTAGTCATCTGTCATTCTCATCTTCAAATTCCTAGCATGTGATAATTGCTTTGGCAATTTGTTTCAAGAGACCTGAAGCATCTCAAATACAGAACATAGTCCTTGTTTTTGTTGTTTTTTTTTTTTGGGGGGGGGGGGGTATTTGTTTAATTCTACCCTTGCAACATGCTGTGCTATTATTTTTAAAACATGGGGAAATTCCCCATCTTTTTCACATCATGCAACTAAACTCTGAAGGATAAACAACGGCATATCCCACTTGGCACCCTAATAGAGAGTATCACAGCTGGCAAGTCGTAGATCTGCAAGCACTTCATACAGCTAGGTGACCTCTGGTAGAAGCCAAGAAACCTATGTCCTGCTCCATTATTATATTACACTCTAAGAAAGTTGCAACACTGAGATCAGGCTGGATGTCTAGACGGCACATGCTTTTGGTTACCTGTAAACAGACTGACTGACTTGCCATACTTCTACAGATAGCTCAAGCTCCTTCTCTCTTAATATCAGCAATCCCATACGTCAGGCCACAAGCTGCAAGGTTTGATTACAGCTAAAGTGCACAGGACACTGGATGGTGGCAGATCTTCAGCTGCACCACAGCACAAGGCCTCTTTTCCACTCTGTGCCACCTGGCCTGCTAGCTACCTCTATCTGTGCACGAATCCGCAATCAACTAATATCAGGTATGTTGGGTCACCGAAGAGGAGAGAGGGTGCAGTGCCATGCTACAAATGGGTGAAATGCAAGCCTAGCAGGGAAGGTCTGAGAGAAAGGAGCCACCCATATGGTTCTCTCAGAGAGCGGTGGCAGTCCTACTTTTTTAAACCCCCACAGGGAGAACGTGGTGGCTACCAGAATCATTTTAATTTCAGGATTCCTATAACTCTGAAAGGGTCAACAGCAAATACCAGAAGTCAAGCAATTTAAAACAATTCCGAGTTTTTAAAATCTATGTTAACATTCAAAAAGGTCTTGCAAGGTGTGAAATAAGATATCATTAGCACCTCTTAGAGAAAAAGCATTCTCTCTGAAAATGGGGAACAATCTGAAAAATGTTAACATAACTCTTATAACTGGTTCAGCAAATTTCAAATGAGAACCCAGTGAAACTGTCTCAAAAATGTGAAGAACTTGTGTGGTTTTTGATTTTTAAAAATAAGTGAAAAACATTGTTTAGAATGATGTTGTTCTTAAGATGTTCCATAAAATCTAAATTAGTCAATTAAAGAAATAGCTCCAGAACCTTTTGTTTATATATTTTAGTGTGTATATATATGTAAATATAAATACACACTAAATATATATACATAGACACACATAAAATGCATGCAGCTTTTAAATACTACACAGATTTTTCTATGTCTTGTTCAATGTATCCAGTCTTGTTCAATGTATTCATCAATGACCTCGATGAAGAGACAGAGTGCACCCTCAGCAAGTTTGCTGATGATACTAAACTGGGGGGAGAGGCTAACACACCAGAAGGCTGTGCTGCCATTCAGAGGGACCTGGACAGGCTGGAGAGGTGGGCGGAGAGGAACCTCCTGAAGTTCAACAAAGGCAGGTGCAAGGTCCTGCACCTAGGGAGGAACAATCCCATGCCCCAGTACAGGCTGGGGGTTGACCTGCTGGAAAGCAGCTCTGCCGAGAAGGACCTGGGAGTCCTGGTGGACAAGTTAAGCATGAGGCAGCAAGGTGCCCTTGTGGCCAGGAAGGCCAATGGATTCCTGGGGTGCATGAGGCAGAGTGTTGCCAGCAGGTCGAGGGAGGTGATCCTGCCCCTCTACTCAGCCCTGGTAAGTCCCCACTGGGAGTACTGTGTCCAGTTCTGGGCTCCCCAGTACAAGAGAGACATGGCACTCCTGGAGAGAGTCCAGCGGAGGGCTACCAAGAGGATTAGAGGGCTGGAGCACCTCTCCTAGGAAGAAAGACTGCAAGAGCTGGGCCTGTTCAGCCTGGGGAAGAGAAGCTTGTAGTCTCTTCTCCATGGTGCCCAGTGACAGGACAAGAGGCAATGGGCACAACCTGAAACACAGAAGTTCCATCTGAACGTGAGGAAAAACGTCTTTCCTGTGAGGGTGACAGAGCACTGGCACAGGTTGCCCAGAGAGGTAGTGGAGTCTCCTTCCCTGGAGATATTGAAAAAATCCGCCTGGATGCGATCCTGGGAAATATGCTCTAGAGGACCCTGCCTGAGCAGGCGGCCGGACTAGATGATCTCCAGAGGTCCCTTCCAACCTCAACCATTCTGTGATTCTGCGATGTGTAATACAGACAAATATAGTTACGGACAGCAGATTAAAACCTCCACAGTACAGCAATCAACTGGCTTTCAAAGAGTTGCATTGATAACTGCAAAGAACTATTTCTTATGACATGATCAGAGGAAAAAGTAGCCCCAGAAAAGGAATTTCTAGTTGTAATAGTAACAGAGATAATCAGATGCTGAAATAGTAATTTCAGTCCTAGAAGCACAGCTGATAGAAGCGGGGTTCCTCCCCCTCCATTCTCCAGGTTCTGCTTCAATATCATAATGCAATGCCAATCTTAACTTTATACACAGATAAGCAGACATATTAGCATCAGTGTTAGATTTCTTAAACCAGTCAGATATGACTTTGTATTAGATGTATTAGACAAACAATGGTTTGTGTTTCATCAGGTAACCACAGCAACCAGCCACACGTATACTGATGTGCCATTCATAATCTAAACATTTGAACATTTATTCAAAAGCAACCCAAAGTACTCTGTGTACCAAACACTTCACTTCATTCACCACTGAAACACGGAGTACATCAGGATACTCATTTAATAGACGCAAGATAATAAAATGGTAAATATTGATATCCTGGCAGAGGTCAATACATTAGCCTTAGCAGACTGTCAGTTACTATATCATCATCCAGTTTTATTAGCCAGAGGCATACAGGTTAAAGGGCACATCCCTTCAGGCTTCAAATTCTAATAAAATAGCCTGCTTCTCCTGTTTCACTGCAAAAACAATTCCAGCAACAGCAGATCACAAGATACATCTAGCTCTTCTTTCTCTGCCCCAAACCTGTGGCAAAATTAAAATTCACCATTTCTGCTCAGTTAGACCAAGGTCCTTTCAAGACCTTTATCTAGCCTTTGGCAGCGAGTAGCAGTATGACTATGACAGACGACAGAGCCCCAAAATATTTTCTCTGCTTCTAGGCATCCTGAGCCAGAGATGGCTTCTTCATATTCAGCAGTCTGACAATTTTTTATTCTACTGATCTGTCTTACTCTCTTTGGAACCCACTTGCTTGCCCTCTGCTACATTCTGTGGTAGCGAGTTCCACAATTTAGTTATGCATTGTGGAAAAATACTTCCAAATATTTTATTTGAACTCGCCACCTGACAACTTCATTTGTTCCCCTGTATTTCTTGTAATACAAG